CACAAACTTCAAAACAATTCGTATTTTTCTGGTATCAAATTATTCATACAATTAAAACCCGATAAAGCACACGGAACATGACAGTTTTTTAAAAACTTGAATTTTACAAACTGAATACATGACGGTCATTTGATCAGTCTCTTTAAGGCATTCGGGAACAATTTCACAGTTCATCAAACCACCTAGAATAAGTGTCAGGCAAAATAAACAGAGATGGTGATCAAATGCAGTTATATGCATGTATTCGTTCTCTTAGCATGCACATATGGTGACTGAATTTCTGACCAATATTTAGCGCTCGATCTGTTAACAGTAGAACGTCTTCAAGTTGAGGGAGAAAACAATCTGCTAAAGTAACTGTCAAACCCTGAACGCCTGTAAAAATACATTAATTATTTGACCCATAATAAAAAATGTATTTCTTTTATAACAGCATTAAGTTGGAGTAAAATGTACAATTTTTCCAAGTTTGCAATATGCATCACAAGAGAAACATGTAAAAAATTTATTCACCTAACTGTTTATGAACTGCAGTTTTGCATTCTGACACATACAGACTTTACTATGGAAGTGAAAATAAAAAATTAGTACTATTTAATTATCACAATTTTCTTAATCAGCCATGCATACTGGATAATCAAATTATTCTAAAATGTACCATTAGCTTTTGATGTAACTTGATAAGCAGCACAAACGATTCGATTAGAGCTTATATAATGCGAAAAAACCAAATCAGGTGGTAGTGGTGGATTGAAGCAACGAGTTATCGGTGAATTACATAGTTCTAGCAGTGTACGTTTTTTAGGCATACACAATGTCGATCGTGCTTGTACTATCAGATTAGTTACCTGCAACTTTCAAACTTATAAGTTTGATTAATTTTGAGGCCATAATTGCAAATATGTAAACGCAAGATGAAAATGAAATTTTTCGGTAATTTAGAAACCTTTTATTTTTAATTAAAACCAAAATTAGGATTACCTGAGAACAGATATCGACGATAGTGGATGAAACCTTTTCCGCATCATTAGCAGGTTTTGTATTTTTAATCCACCTTAATCCCTAAAAATACGCAATTTTCCAGCTCAATACTTCTGAATAAAGAAAATTTTTAATGAGTACCTAACCCTAGAAACAGTTCGGAGCGCCCGAATACAGTAATTATCTGCATCTTGTAATTGCTGCAACTTCCACTGCACATCAGGTTGCGCACTAGCACGATACACACCACCAGACATTTTAGGATATTTTAGTGTCACCTGAAATCAATGAAATGGCACATGTACGGAGTAACAATGACCAGGAGTGTCTCTAAACGAATCAAAAACGATGCACAACTGAAAAATCTGCATTAATTTTTGCCACTTATCAACCGGTTTCAAACTTAATTTTAACTTCTCAATAATTATACCTCCGTCTGCAAAATGCTCTCGCCAAACAATATTATAGAACATTTAAATACTTCAGTCCCTGTTCGTTGAACTAATGAAAGTTTCTCAGTTGTTGGTGCTCCTTTTTTAAGTGTTGGATCTATTTTAGAAGTCAAATTCATCCTATCACAAACTTCGTGCAGGATATTTTCTATCTGAAAAATAGAAATCACTTTAAAAATAAAAAAGTATCATTTGGCTAAAATCAAAGATAATTCATTTCAATTCAATAAAAAATTAATAACTGACTGCAGCTGAATACAATCTTTATATTCGAGAATTAAATCTGCCATAGTAATATAAAAAAAGATGGCAGTAGAAAGATACATTTAGTATTCAGTAACGAGACCAAAATTTCAAAGAGTAACGAAAGCTTCACACTATACCTTTTCAAACATTTGTACTGCTTCTAATTTTTGATACCACTGCTGTTCATCTAACAGACTTCGTTGAACTACAAAAACGCGCTGATCCTTTGATTTAGTATTATTAATGTCATCATGACCATTAACATCACTACTGGATGTACCTATTACAGCATCCTCATAATCATCATCTGCGTTTACTTGTAAAGTAGTAGCCATAACTGAAATCAACACAGACTTGACATAAATTCATCTGAATAATATGGAATCCCATCCACAATCACTTTCACCACAATCTTGTAAATACTGTTCAAGAAGAGTGTCTAAGCAGCTCACTATAGTTTTATGCTTCACACCATACCAATTTCCATTCGCATCGTTTCTTCTCCATGCTTACATGAAATGTACACGGAATTCATAAAAACCGACAGAGGAAATCTTCCTAATCCATTAAACCTTTTTATACAGAAATTAAGCAGCTTAATTGTCAAACACAAGTTGGCAACATGGACTACACATGAAATATAAGCAAAAAATAACACAGAATGGCTTAAATTTCAAAATAGTTTTTCAGTACAATAAAATTATACCAAAGTCAACAATAAAAGTGGCAAAAATACAAGAGTTTGATCAAAATGACTGAAAGTTAATGAGAAGCAAATAAAGAGACCCAACAAGCTGATATACCACTGCCCTTACAGTCATAAACCGCAAAAGTTAGTCCACAAACTTCTAAACTATCTACTTTTTTCAAGTTTATGACTAGCACTCGCTCGTAGGTCAGTATGAAAATTTATGGGATCAAACTCAGTTGACTTGCCTAATTACCTCGTAGACGGATGATTATGCGGTAGCTTTTTAAGTGATATTTTCACGCGCAAACTATGCTAGAATTTGTCATTAAAATTGTAAATTGGTTCATTTGCAGTGAAAATTTCGCATACAAACATTATAGATAGCATTTATTTGTGAAGGAATTTTATACACAGAGATATAGTCAAGCAAACAGTAAGCACTTTGTTTGTGCCACCATTTCCCTTCGTCATTATCTGTTTGATGAAAAATTGCTGATAAGAATGAACGTTTCGTTTCAGTTTTTATTTCTCTTGTCAGGTCCTCTTTATATGATATTCTGTATGGAAAGCAAATAGATTTCCCGAGTTGGTGATAGGTTGATTAACTGGTAGATTTTTTCATGGAGTTATTCATTGGGATTTGAGGTTGAAAGCTATCAAGGCTAAGATATTGAACTCATAAGGATCTTTAGTTCAAGTGTTGAATCCACTAGCTATCACTGCCCTCAGTAAGATGATAAACTGATAAAATAAACTGCTGCGAGTTGTACACAACCGTTCTTGTTTCAGCTCGTACTCAATATATTCACAGAGCGGACGATGGCAGCACCATTGATATTTGTGGTTTGTTTGTTGATTTTGTGCAGGGAAATTTGAGTATTTATTTTAGGTGTCTAAAATTTTCTAAGAATCCTGTGTTGACAACTAAATAGGTTGCAAACTTTGTATAAGAAACCAATAAGATATCTGGTTTATATATTATTGGTCTGAGCCTTTTCTTTCTTTCCTGAATAAGTTTGATTATGGGTAGAAGAAGCGATTAAATGGTAGAAACCACAATTTCAGCTCAGAATTCTTTATATGATAAATGAATTTTTCATACTGTAATAGGTGTGATTGCAAAATGCAAATTAAATTAAATTCCAAAGTTTCTGATACTTTTGCAAATAATATGAAAATTTTCTTAGGTGACCGGAGCCAATAAAGGAATTGGTTATGGAATTGTGAAAGGTCTCGCTCAACAGCTGCACAATGCTGTCATTTACCTAACTGGTATTAACTTATGTTTTTTCTATTAAGCGTAGTTAGCTTAAGCAGAAATTATCACATTGATCAATCTTAAAATATAGCACTGCATAAGCTATGAGAATAGAAGTAATTCAATAATTTGGTAGTACCAGAGATTCTTGTACTGTTTTGATTCGTTTTTTATTTGACAGTGCAACAGTTGCTGATGGTTTGATTTAGTTTATTGGGCGGTAATAATTGATAGTATTTTTTCTTGAATTTATTGATTACAATGATGACTTCAATATTTATTCACTTCATGTCAGCTATATTAATTTAGGCTGTTACTAGCTTGTATCAAAGATTGGTGATAATATATTACTGGATTAAAATTTATTTATGGTGGCAAATTTTTTGGAACTGTACTACTATAACTCAGTAACTTCAAAGAAGAATTCATTCGCTTGTTAGCAAATTTAAAGAAAATGTTTTTCATTGTTTTCAGCAAGGAACGAAAAATTAGGTACAGAATCGTTACATAAATTAATCGAGGAATTGGACAAAAATCTTCACTCTGATATTCGTTTTCATCAGTTGGATATAACAGACCGGAAAAGTTGTGAGACATTTGCATCTCATTTGAAAGAGCAGCACAATGGTTTAGATGTGTTGATCAATAATGCTGGAATTGCTTTCAAAGTAATAAAGCAGTACTTAATCTGCTATTAATATAAATTAGAAATTGGTGCCATTATTGTTTTGTTGTTTGATCTCATCTGTAGACACTTTCTAGTCTATTAATATTAATATTTTTGTTTTTTGAACTATTATCAATGTGATAATCTGTGCAGTATCAGAAAACATCTACTGAGAAACTTGTTTGTACATATTTCTCACTAAAGTCTTTTTGATAGTTCTCACTGAGATGTTTTTAGTGTTTTTGTAAATTATCATTAATAATAATAAGTATTGTAGCATACGGCAACTGAACCACCAGAAGAACAAGCTGCTATCACGATTGGTGTGAATTACGAAGGTACCAAGCAAGTCAGCAACATATTATTTCCTCTTATTCGAAACGGTGGGAGGTTGTTACTTTCCCGCATTTTGCAGTTGATTTGATATTTAATTAATCCATGAACTACTAACATGCCTCTTCAGTTTTTCTTATATATGTGATACTGGTTTCAAATATTCTTTAAACTCAATTTTCAAGGGTGGTGAATGTTAGTAGTTCAGAAGGCGTTATAGCTGGTCGGTACAGCAATGAAATCATTGCAAAACTCACGAGTCCTTCGTTAACAGTTGCCGATATCGACAAATTCACTCAAGATTATATCAAGTATTAAAATTTCAAGCATTAAAATATGATAAAGTGATAATCACGCGACTGATTTTAAATATTGATTGCGCGAAGAAGATATTATTTAAGGGCTTGTGCTCCAGATAAGCGTGAGGAAATGGGCTTTCCAAAATCCGCATACAAAGTTTCTAAGGCTGCAATGATAGCACTTTCCTTCATTCAAGCAAAGGAGTTGAGGTCTCGGAATGTATTGGTTAACGTGGTTCGTATCTTAAAAATTTTTATTTTTATCTTATTAATATGTCGGTTATTATTTTTTAGTTTAATCATATGATATACAGAGTTTTATTTTGCATTTTCTTGCACAATATTTTTGTTGCCTGCTTTAGGTGGCGCAGGAATTTCAAATGATATCAGAATTATGGCTGATACCTAGTTGAATATCATTAGTTTATTCACAAAATTTTCGTAATTTTGGTATCGGGTACAGTAGTATTCTCAAAATATGGTACAGTAACATTCTTAAAGTCATATAGATGAAAGGTATTATTGACTAGATTCGTTTTAGTGTCATCCTGGATATGTTGACACCGATATGACAAGTCACATGGGTCCATTGGCGGTTGAAGAAGGAGCCGATACGCCAATTTTTTTAGCAACATTAGAAGGCAACGAGCCAACTGGCAAATTTTTTTATAAACGAAAAATTATTGACTGGAATACCCCTTTTTAATACAAGGATTTGTTTACAAATTGATCAAGTAGATAAATTTTAGTCCGCGCTATGTATAATTATTCTTGCAATATTTTAGTTCTCTCTGTATAGTTTCTTCTTTTCAAATGTATATTTAAGTAGTGGTGATGGGATATATTAGCTCAAATTTAACCGCTTGTATGTATTGTTCGGTTTCGTATTATGTAATTTCAACTGCATTTTGGAAATATATTTGAGTCAAAAAAGTTGTTACGTTTTGCTTTTTAAATATTTTTTTGTATTGTAAAATGCTTATTTATTACATTGTCAGTGAAGTCTGTGACTCAAATTTAATACTATTTATTTGTTCATTCAATCAGTAGTACCACAAAATATGAAAAATTAAAGATTACAATTACAATAAATCAACAAAAACAAAATACATAATGCAAAAGTTTGCAAGAAATCATTTGCAAAATTTATGACCCGGTAACTTGTATTTGAGATCTTCAAATATATAGTAAGCAAAATTGATTCCGTAATATTTTCTCTGAAAATCATCAAAAATTAGTCAAAATATATACATTAGTATGAAATTGAACATCTTCAGACGGATAGAAGTTGCTAATTAAAGAAACAAATTTTACAGAAAGCATGTGTGTACCATGTAGTTTTATTCCAGAACTTCGTCAAGGCAACGGCTGAGCGTGTTATGGCTTTAGTAAACTATGATACAAGAGAATCAGGAGGCTGTAAATCTATGGACTATGTATATATGTCGAGCAGTTTACTTAGCAACAATTATACTGAAAATTCATTTGATATGTTTGAATAAGAAACTGCTGTGTTCAAAAGATAAACCTAAATTTAAGATCCTTAAATACTTGAGTGAGATATTACGACTGCCCGTCATCGATGATAAGCATCTTCCTGAATTATCTGTAGTGACCTAAGGTTTGGCGTCATATGCAATGATATTATTCATTGGACAGATATGTTGTTGATGACTTTTCATATGAGTTAGTTCTTGATGAAGTTGTGACAGGTATGACAGATCAGTTGTAAATTAGTTCTGAAATGGCAGTGAGGTGCATTTATTGGGCCGATACCTCGGCGTCAGTGGTTATTATTATTACTAGCGGAATTATTCCTAATTTTCCTTGTGCTTTGCAACTCATCCATTTTGCTTGATGTTACAGTTCTATTTAATTTGGTGATAGCTTCCGTGTTTCCTACGTAGACATCCGTTACTCGATGCGTGACATTAACACACTTTTGAATGCATTTAGGAAAGAACTGCCATACGCAGCAGGCGATGTCGTCCTGTTTGACAAGCACTGAAGCAATATTAGCCAGTGGATTCAAATTACAGCTGATTACTGCGCTAATACGTATTAAACTTGCATAACGAGTAGTTGGGTCGTTGTCGGTATCGCTGATGCATAACTTGAGACTCATTGGTAAGACATAAAAAATTAACGTGAACACGCAGGAAACGCCCATCGTTGTAGTTAGTTTCTTCTGACGAGATTCAAATATTCGTCTGTTTGTTTCCTAAAATCTAAATTCCGTAAAGCTTAGCTGACATTTGATCTAACTTGGTGTCATATTCAAATTGTAGTAGCTATTGTAGAAATGAAATTAAGAAGTCTATCAAATCTACTAGCACAATTCAGATCAAATGTCAAGTACTTTCAAAAATAAAAACTAGATCTAAAATATTTTTTAGTTCATTTGCATTTCGTTTAAAATTTTATTCAGAAGTAATATTGAACATTTTATTTATGAAAAAAAAGAGTTGAAAGAATCAATGTTTTTATTTCCAGTTATAAGCCATACGAATGCTTATTTTATTAATTGTGAGTGCTAATCACAATTTCATGTTATGATGCTTTTGTAGCAGTCAAAAGTTAGTTGATAACCTTTAAACTCAGAATTAATTACAGTAAGATTATTCATCACTACACTGAACATACCGTCTGATTGCTTCTTATTCGATTAATGTGTTTTCTACTAAATATATAAACAACAATGTAAAGGATAACACTAAGCGACGTGGAAGTGATCATTATAATGATGCTAAGATCAGCGAAAATTGGTTTCAGAACATCGCCAGTCCTGAAGTAATCAAAATTTTCGAGCTGTTTCAAATAGCAATCGAAAGTGAAGTTTATTTAGAGGAAGTGAGTATTAATACAAATAGTATTAATATTATTATATCATACCAACATAACTTATCCAGTTGTTCATCGACACGTGTGAAAGATGCTGTCCACGCAGTTATGCCAAAAAAAAAGATGGGTACGAAGAATGCAATGATCTAAACGCAATAAATGTGTGATTAGAACTCTTTGATAGGCATCAGATAATCACTCTAACTCTGACTTGAAAGCTATTTAGAAGCGCCAGTTTAAAAGTTTACATCACTGTTAAAATTTGTGGCATCGATGAAAGTGTGAAGTGTTACAAAATAAGCGCAGTAGTTTAGAGTATTCTTTTTCTTATTTAAAGTGATTCAAATTCACAAATATTTGGAGGGAATATCGAAGGTTGAATGGAACTAAAACAAACTTGCTTGATCTGATATGAATAGCACTGCTCAAAATAACGCACTGGAAATAAAAGTGATATGAGACGATCTACGCTTACCATAAGTGTAGCCGTGGCTGATAATGGCTCCGCCCTAAAGCAAATGAATTAGACGGAAGAAAATTTACTGTCCGTAACTCTAATTAGTGAAGGAAATGAGCACTTGAAAGTGAATATACTTAAATTATTACTTACTACAGGTAGTATAATTATGACTTGTTCGTAGGCACCTACCAAACATTGATCACCGTCCATGGCAGCAGCAAACAAAATTGTCTACTTATCCGTGGTGGGCTAGCTATTAGCATAATTAATCTCCCAATACCGGACACACATAAACCAAATGCAAGTGATATATCTGCGAAAATCTGTAAATCAGTTTCAGTATCATTTTATTACTTATTTCTGCTTTCAAAAGTTCTGAGCGATGAAAATAAACTGTTACTAAAAGTATGAGTTAATTGCTGGAATTAATAGCAAACTCTCAATGTTAAAGTTCATTCAAAACAATCACCCACTGAGTATGAGATTACTAAAAAGTAAATAAATGTGATGAAAAATTTCAATTATTAAAAATAAACACTTTATATATAAATTAACCCTTACTTACCTGTGCTAGCAAGATGAGATACTGACGTCTAAGATGGCGACGCTTAAATAATACTATTTGCACCGAACCATTGCAAATGATTAGTAAAATCCCTTGAAATATAAAGATAGTAAATAATACAATGAAAAGTCTTCCATTTTTAACCGCACTATCAGATGTCATTTCCGTATCTTTATCTGTGTCATTGTCCATTCCGCTTTAAAAAGTACTGCATAATTATTGCTGATTATTAATAATGCAGCAGCTTTTAGATAATGCCGAACATCAACAAACAATTCTTCAGTTTTTACTCAGAGACTTTAAAAATGGATTTTTTCTTGCTATATAATCGATGGTTTAGTCAAAAATTCATAGAAAAATAAACTTATATTTATATATAAAAATAATATTTATATAAATATAAGTATTATATATATA